TGCCAACACAGTAAAGTTACTTTTGCATGAAGTCAGTTAACAGAAACTGCAGCCTAAGGAATGTAGCCAGTTCACAGGCCAGGAAGATTAACCCCATCCCCTGTCATCTTTGCTTAGTTCTTCATCAAAAAACATGTTACTTTGGTTATAGATAGATCTAACCACTCTGAATTACCAAAGATACTTTCTCTTCTTCCTCTTCTACACCAGTGTGACTCCTCATTATAATTGATGTTTAGAACAAGCCCCTCAACCAACAGTGGATTCACTGAAGTAGGACAATATTACCATTTTGTAAGTGAAGAAACGTGAGACCAACCTACATTGACCTGCCTGGTACAAATGATCTGTCACAAGGGGTAGTTCTGAGAAGGCTGCAGCAAATGGTGGTTGCTTTTATTAGGGACATCTACACTATCACGTAAGCCCAGGACTTTCATAAAAAGAAGTACTTCTTAGTGGTTCTTAACAGTATGAGATGAAAGTTCAAGCAGATAACTGTAGATAGTAAGACATCTCCTCAGCAAAGAAAACAATAACTTCTGTGTAACAAAGGGGCCTTTCATTTTAACCCCTGGCTCCTCCAAACTGCAGATGTTTCAGCATTCTGCAATTGTTCGGGGTTTACTGCAGTGATAAGACCTTATACATGATTTCTGAGGGGAATGCAAGAAGGACCGGTTCTTCTGTTCGTAAGAAATTTACCTCAATGGAGCCATGCCAATTTATATTAAATGATGGTGTGGCCCTGATTTCTTATGTAGAAAGTTATTTTTCCCTTCCTGATATTTCCACTGTTTGACCTTTCAGGTTTGCACAAAATTAATTGTCACCAGATGATAAAATAAGTTCCAAGTTCTCATCTTTCTAACTGAGCCTTCGTATTTCCTTATGGACACATGAAAGATTTCTAATTTAAGGAGATCAATGGCTCAGTGAGTCATGCTGCTCCGATCTGTGCACAGATGGGACCCCCACTCAGCATGTAAGTCTGTTCCTGTGCTGAGTGAATGTAGGATGGGGCTTATCTCCATCACTTTGGTCCCTTTTTAACAAAGTGGTTTGCAGAGCTCTTCTGGAGATTCATAATCTACATGCTTTATTAGGACTTTATTAGGAAAGGAGGAAGACAGACCCTGAAAATGAATCCTAAGGCCATGTTAATAGGTGTGTAGATTTTAAGATCAGACGTGAATGCCCCTTGTTGCAGCAACAAAGGACAGAAATACTTCTCCAGGAAGCCAAAGACATATCAAAGAGATTTCAGAACTGCACAACCGTACCAGGCATCCGTGTGGCCTTTGTGCAGCAGATCTGGTGAAATGTGAATCTCCTACTGCCTTGAATTATTCTGGGAAGAGTTTGAGAGAGAGAAATGTCATAAGAGGTATTTAACTTCCTGCTTCAGTGAGGAGTTTTCTCCCTGGATAAATGGGAAATTTCTCTCTTTTATCTACAGCCTTCTGATATAAATACAATGCAGTAGTGATTGAAAGTTATTTACCATTAGATGGAAGTTTCCATTGCCAGGATAGCTCGGATTTCCAGACACTGCCCATGACAATCTGTTACTAATACCAGCCCCAGAACAGCCACTTCTGAAGCCTGTAGTAGCTGACCAGTAACCTCTCTGAATAGATTTTTTGGTTTCAGTGCCACTCTCAAATGGACAAATGTCCTTATCATAACAACAGTACTACAGCTGCTTCCCTTGTGGTTAATCTCTGCAGACCAGCTGATGCATATGACTGAGCGGTAGAGGTGGTTAAAGATCCTGCCAGATCATGTCTGTAGTACAGTGACTGGATAGAAGGAAAAACTTTTCCATTGTTTCTCATTCCAACTTATCCTCACTTTCACAATATTTTACAATGCTGTATCTCTGTACTTCCCTATTTTCCAACTGTGTCAGTTCTCCACCACTCTTCCAAACCTTGATCACCTGTTTTATCAACTTTTTTTTTAACCATCTCTGCATTCTCTTCCAGATCTCCCATATTCGTGGAATGTTTTTTTTTAAATTAATTCACAAAGGCATTACTCCCCTATTCTTTCAGCTCCTACCTCAATGGCTACACCCACCAAGATATCTGCAGGAAATTACAAGCTAATAATGGCTATGCAGATAACTAGTGAGGATCATCAAAGGCTTTTAAAATGGATTTTATGTTTTATTTGTCTTTTTCACCCTTTGGATTACCATCTTGACTGGCAGATGTCACCACCATGTTTTTTAGTGTTATTAAACACTGTAATGTTCTCTACATGGAGCTGGGCTTGCAAGTTGCCCATAAATTTTAGCCCGTGCAGTGGACCGGAGAGATGGAGCACAGCAGATTATGGAGGGTTATTTCCAGTACACCCACAGCTGAGCATGTAAAGAAGGTTTGGACTTCAGATCCTGGAGGGTTCCATACATTTCACGGCCTTTTGGGACTTCAGGCCCCATCCTCCCCAAACATGAGTTTCACACAGCCCTGGAAAGCCAGGGCTACAGGCAAGGTTTGTTCTCACAGAGCCATCAATCCAAACTGACTCTGGAGGCTTCTATGAATTACTCCAGAATTGCCCACAAGGTAACATAGAGCAAGAAAATTGGCATTGTTGCTTAAACAAAGACGTAGGAATTTACATTGATGTCTTCTCTTGCACTTCCTTTTGGGAACTCTGTAATTATACTGAGGTTAAGTTTGTTTATGGTAACATCCTTTAAATCCAGACCAGCTCCCCTGACTCCAGTGGAGTTAATGTGGATTTACACAAGTGTAAGCAAGGATGAGATCTGGTCCTAATTTAGGACACATCTGCCAGCACAGATGGAGCTGAGAGAGTTTATTGTCATGTTCATTTTCTACCTCTGTTTGAGATTCTTCTGAGCATGGAAGAAACCCAAAAATTTTAAAATCTCGCAACACAGGCAATGTTATCCCCCCGTATTGTGGCTGGTGAATTCCACCAGAGCACAAGATGGCCTTGTACTCAACTACATCATGATGGCTTAAAAAAATAGCCTCACAAAAAATAATGGCTAAAATTGTCATCCTGTAACCACTTTGAAAAGTGATTAACTTTCTGTGATGAGCAGCTCTATTGACATACTCCTGGCTGTTGTAAAACTAATCACCTGAGTAACAGTTTGCATGACCGTAGCCCAAGGAGCGGTTTGGCACACTCTTCATCCAGGCAAGACTCCAAGAAGGTCATGCAGAGTTTTGCCTGAGTAATAAGTGCTGAATTTATTGCTTGATGGCTGTGAATCTAAAAAAAATATTTGCTACCTTTAAATCAAAAATTTTGTTGTGATTCTGGGCGTTAATCTGTTGATTTTTAAAATTTATATTCTTTTCTGTTGTTTGTTTTGATGCTTTAGAAAGTGAATGAGGGAGCAGCTCTTTCTTATAAAACTTGGAAGAGTATTCTGTAGCATATGCAAGTGGCTTGCATGCCATGAAATAGAATACTTCTTTTTCTCTGCTATACAATATGTCCTAGTGTCTATTTTTTTTTTTTAATTAGGCAAATAATGTGTCTATTTTCTATCTTAAGGAAAAAAAAGCCACTGCTTATTGCTCTGGAAGGGTTACCTGTCTAAAGAATTCAGGATCTGATTTTACAGGAATCACTGTTTGGAGAAAGTATTGATTCTATGATGGAGAAAGAGATCTTGTTGTTCTCAAGCTCTGCTTTTACTGTGGAGTCAGAAACCTTACAGGTTTTGTGCATTATTATATTGCTTTAAGGGATAAAAACACTCTTGAGCAGATCAGTACCAAGTTTGTACAACTAACTCCCCTAGTGTAAATGTTAAAAATCAGATTCCTAGGAGTAAAAGACAGAAGGGTAAGATCTTTTCTGGCTTAATCTGATTTACCTGAGTGTTCATGCCTGCACAGGCTTAGAGTGCATTGTAGAGTGAGAAAGTGTAATACAACTCATTCTTATTGTATAGCAATGCAAACCTAGGGTAACTCCTGTATTCAATATTCTCCCTCAAAAGTGGTGTGAGAAAAAAGTCAAACCAAACACACTGAAGATGACATGCAGAATTTGAAACAAAATGAGACACATATGGGGAGGAAATTGCATTATAATCATTTGATTACATATTTCAAACAGATTTCTGGGGCCCATGGCATATCCATAAAGGAGATGGTTTTGGTAATGTAACTGTAGTGATATTAGTGTAAATCCAGAGTTGCTGCAGTGACATCATGTTAGCCCCATTAATTCTGTAAAATCTTGCTGATACTTATTTTTTCCCCTCAGCCTATTTTAAGTGGGTGATTAATAATTTTGTAATCTGAGCTCTTATGTAATAGGCCATTCGTAATAGCAATTACTCATCAAGAATATTCTCAGCTGAACAATTCGGTACAACAGGTCAGATTCAGATTTCCCAGTGGTTTGCTCTTCATGTAGTTGCCCTGAATCACATTAGGGTTAACTAGCAGCAGAAGGCTTATGTTTTTCAAGATGTAACCCAGGAAACACAATTCAGAAGGCAATTGTAACCTCTGTTAAGGCTGCCCAAATTTAGAGCTCTGAATCAGAACCATCCATGATGCAGACAGGATGCAGGGTTCAGGTATTCAGTTCCGAATTTTCCCTAC